TACGAAACAGCCGAATACGAAATAGCCGAATACGAAACAGCCGAATATACGAAACAGCCGAATATACGAAACAGCCGAATATACGAAACAGCCGAATATACGAAACAGCCGAATACGAAACAGCCGAATACGATTTTGCCGAATAGAACTGTATAATTGGGTCAAATTGAATGTCAAAATAGCATATTGAATTTTGGCGGTAATCACCCTTCATATATATTCACAGTCTGTGAATTCTGTTTCTTGCTGGTTCGGGCCTCTTCTAATGTGTAACCCGAAACTTTTCTTTTCCGTTCACAACATGGGTTTTTAATAAGAGCACCGCCACTATCGCCAAGTGCTCTCTATCTGGGTTAGCTTAAAATGGTCATCAAAGCCAGCCTTTCTGGACCAACTCTTCTCGCAGTCTCCACAATACACCCTCTTATTCATTTACTTTATTAAAAATTCCTTTTCCATATAAGCTTTACCCTTACAATTACATAGTTTGTTGCTCGATGAATAATTCAACTTATTTAAATTTTTTAAATTCTTAAATGTCATTGTCTAGGGCACGAAAAATATGCAGGCTCGACTGGCCAGTGTTTCACATGCAATGTTCTTAGTAATACTTAATGTAAATTGTGAAATAATAAATAATATTCAAAGAATAGAAATCCAGAAAATGCAAATATTGCAATTAGTTTGTGGAAAATTTTAAGTATTTTTTTAGTTAGTATGCATAAAAACTTCAGAGTTCAGACAAGGATTGCAGTTAGCTTCAGACACTTGCAGGTAGCGCCACTACCTAGGATACCATGTTTTGACAGGCATGATTCAAAATGCTAAATGTGCAGACCAGAAGCAAGAACACCTTGAGCCAGATTTTGACCAATGAGTATTTTCCATTCAGAATTTGAATGGGGAATTAATTTTTATTAAGGACGGTCGACAGGGAAGGCGGGAAAATGACACAGACTTTGATAAAGTCTAGGTACTGACCAACATCACCAGTCGAAATAAATTATTATGATGCTAATTTTAATTTTGTCCATTGTCCAACAAAAACTGATAACCTCTGACCACGTTTTGTCTTGGTTGGACCTTAATTTGCCCTTTCGAGTAAAATAATTATTTGCAGGCCTGTGAATATCATATATTACAATATGAACCCACTGAATAAATATCTTATATTAAGCTGAAAAACAATCAAATGATATCTGGGGTGGAGAAGAAGTACCAGAATGTGAATTTCCAAGTGATGACCTAGATGAAAGAATTGTACCAGAGTATGAATAAATTTATAATATTTTACTTTAATTGCTACACATATGTAGAACTAAAACAACGGTTACCCTAAAATTAACAAAATAATGATAACTTACAGATTATAACAACATGCAGTAGCATTACCGGTAATCACCATACCAGTATTTGAAAAAAGTAAAGAAGGAGAACTTTCCTTGCTACTACTGTACCTACAGTAATAAAGGTTCCATGCACAAAATGTGGGATGTCAGCTTTGATGATCATTCTTCATGCCACGCTCATTGCTCAACTTCATTCATAAATTGTTAATCATCCAACAATTCATTCAAAGTAGATCGACCATTTTCTAATTCTCAGGCGTACTCACTACGGCACCACAAACCATACTGTGTCTTTTCCCTGCTTATATAATATTGATTAGAGAAATTTCTTTTTTCCACAGTTCTTAAAATGTCTTCATTGGTCTTTATGTAAATTCGGTCCTTCCATTACTGTGACTGTGTAGAAGTAAATTCTACTGTCTTTCATTATACAGAAACGAGGAATACTGTATGAAAATTCATTTGAATTATTCTGTTTTAGGTATGAAATAATATTTAAACAGAAAGTCACGTCCGAAGATATATTCTTTGGAATGAGTAACAAGAATCCATCAACAGCTTGTTGTGAGGATTTAGTAGTACGTACAGTATTGCAGTAGTAAATGTATTAACCTTAATCCTATATATGGTGATATATACATGCATGTCACGTGGCATTTATGTATTTCTCCACTGTTTTTAGGCTAAAATTAATTTACCAGAAACGAAATATGCCGATGTAAATTTGAACGTGACAGATACTTTTCTGGATTGTCAAACTCCAAAATAGTAAGTACTTACTGTAATTAATAACACTGTTCTTTGCAGCTGTATGCCTATGTATGTAACATGAACATAAAACAAACTACAAATTTCGCCTATTTACCCAACTGTCTATTATTTTTGTTATTATTACAAGGTGAAAAACGGGAATTTTCATATTGTCCAGTTATTTTTATCACAGCACTGACGTTAGTAATTGACTGGTCCAATTTAGTTATTCTTTCTCTCAATTTTTACCCAGAGTTTTACACTTTTCAGAAGTTTTACTTAAATATTGCATTTTCGTTCCTTTCTATCCAATAGTAGTTTTGCCAACTGGGAAAACAATTTGCCAATTCGAAAAAAAACCCCAATTTGCTACTGACTGGCTGGCGACTGACGAATGGGAGGTGTTCCTTCCACCCCCTTTCTAGCGCCGCCCCTATGAAACACCTTCAAAAATCATTGAAGCAAAAGCTACAGCTCTCACTAAACAGGCCCAGTTGCTACGGCGTTGTTATTAAAATGAAACAATCAGGGTTAACTCCAATACACTTTATGGATAGACTTCAAAGTACAGTAGATACAACGCTCAACGCAATAAAATGACCATTGAAACCCTTTCGTATATTGTCAACTGCATGAAGGTGAATTTCCATAAATTATTCTTTCGCAACATACTTGGTACCATATTCCGGCGTACTGTATGTACTGTATGTGTAAATTTGCATGATATTACGAAAGTCACCAAACTGTGGAATCGCATCAAAAATTCGTATATCGACCACTCCCACAAACGTCTACGACCGCGCCTACATAGTTTTGCACGTTTACAATTCTAATTTTAAACAGCCAATTACCAAGAACCTGATTGGCTGTTCAAAATTAGAATTGT